AGTTCCACACTCCTTCCCCCTCCCTTTCCTATTAATTGCGGCCGAGGGAATGCTGGGAAATGTAGTTCTTTCCCTGCTCCAGGGCTGGCTCTATAGGCAGGGAGCTAACCAAGGAACTACAGCTCCCAGGGCCCCCTGTTGGTTCTCAGCTCCCCTGCTGGATTCTTGCGCCCCTGCAAATTTGCCGCCCCAAGCAACTGCTTGCTTTGCTGGTGCCTAGAGCCAGCCCTGGCCTCAGCGCACCGGGAGGAGGTTGGGGAGGGATGTCAGGCAGTGAGAAGCAGAGACCGGAAGTGACGCGCCGCACTCGGTGGGGGGTGTGCGCACGCGGGAGTGGGGACGGGGTGCCGCGAGACACGGCCATTGGAGCAGTTGCAGCAGCGCACGAGACATTCCAACGGCCCCAGGCTCCTCCCGGCAGCCCCCGTGCACGCAGCTCCAGCCCCACCCTCCTTTCCTCCCGGCAGCCCCCCGTGCTCCAGCCCCTCTCTCCTCCCGGCAGCCCCCGCGCGCTGCTCCAGCCCCGGCCTGGGTCCTGCGGATACAGCTCCGGGCTCATCCCACCCCTCTCATAACTCCCCCCATCTCCACCCCTGCATCCCCTGATCTTGCACCCCAGGGTTCCTCCCCACCCTCCCCCACCTGCACCCCCAATCCCTCCCTAACTCTGCCCTCCCCTAACACCCCCAGCTCCACCCCTAAACCCCCATCATCCCCTATCCCCCCAAACTCCCCACCCTCCCCTCCCCTAACTCCCCATTTCTTCCCCACCTGTACCCTGAACCCCATCTCCTCACCTAACTCCCCCAACCCCACCCACCCCATCTCCCCTAACTCCCCCATTTCTTCCCCACCTGTACCCTGAACCCCATCTCCTCACCTAACTCCCCCAACCCCACCCACCCCATCTCCCCTAACTCCCCCATTTCTTCCCCACCTGTACCCCCTGAACCCCCATCTCCTCACCTAACTCCCCCAACCCCACCCACCCCATCTCCCCTAACTCCCCCATCCCTTCCCACCTCCCCCTCCCCAGCTCCCCCAACTGTACCCCCAGCCCCTCTCTCAGCACCCACAACTGTATCCCCCCAGCTGCTCCTTCAGTTCCACCAACCCCTTCCCCCACAGTATCCTCTTTTTGGGAACCAGCCCCCGTGCCTTAACCCACTAGCCCCTGCTCCCCTCCCGGAGCCAGGCCGAGAACCCAGGGCTTGCAGGACACAGACAGGGATGGGGGTTTGGCCTGATGTGTCCTGGCAGTGGGCACAGAGTGGCTCCGAGGGGGGATGGGAGTTTGTGCAGAGGGCTGGCAGGGCTGGAAAGACCCCAGGGGCATCGTGTCGCCCATCACACACTGCTCCTTGTCACAATTTGCTGCTTCGTTTGTACTGAGCACGGTCAGGAACATCTGCTCAAGCTGCTGCCCGCACGTGGCATCAGATTCTGCTGTGTGCTCTTTAGAGGGGTTAAAAGGGCGAAATCAGAGGGTAGGGTCAGAGCAGGGGGTGGAAATTGACTGGCCAGAGGGGTCAAGGTGCTGGAGGCAGGGGCAGGAGAGGGGCTGAATCAGGGATGGAGCCGTAGGGGCCAGGGTTAAACCCAGGGGGGAGGTGCTGCCAGACTGTAGCGGAGGGGGAACAGTTACCCCGATGGAATGAGCCACCTGGTGTGTATGTAAAAGCAGGGGACAGAGCGGCTTTTTAGGGCTGGGTTTTTAAAGGCCCGGGCATCCCCATGCTTAGATCCGGCAGCTCCTTTCTCTCTGATATAACCTACTGAGGGGATACACGAGACTTGATTCAGTGAAATATTTTACATCTACCACCAAAAACTCTGTGTCGCGCATTGTGAGTGTTTAAAAGAATCCCATATTGGTTTATATGTCTGCAGAAAGTCTCCGAGCAGGTCACTGCTTATCTGCTGCTGTGTTTCCCTGATGCGCTCCCTTCCTTGGAATCCATTTTACATCGAGTTTTGCTCCTTTTAAAATGTTATTTCTATTACTCTCACCACTTCATCATTGACCTTTGTTATCACTGTGCAGATGCAGGTCGTTGTGCTATTTCATTTTTATTTTAATGGCAAATACTCATGAAAAGCGTTTATAAGTGAACAGTTGCGGGTGGTTTTAGCAATGCCATCTGTGTTTCTAGTATAGCGCTTGCGATGTTTTTTACTGTGATTTTAATTTGGAATTTTTAATTCTAACTTTTTATAGCACAAGTTTATTCTGTTGGATCATGTGACTTCCAGTCTGACTGATTTCCTGACCTGGTGTCAAAACTTCGTTTGCATTTGATCCACCAATGGGGACTGCCTTTTGCAACTGTTATTTTGCCTCTCAATCCAGCCCTTAGTGGTTTTTCACATGTCATTGCTTGTGTGTAGGACTTGATTCGCAAATATTCACTGAGCGCAGTATGCTATGTCATGTAACATCCTTCTCAAGGGCAAAACTTTCTGTCATTTTTGCTGAACATAAGAATAGCCACAGTGGGTCAGGTCACTGGTCCATCTAACCCAGTGTCCTGTCTTCATTCACAGGGAATGAAGAGAACAGGCCATCATCGAGTGATCCACCCTCTGTTGTCCACACCCAGCTTCTGGCAGTCACAGGCTAGGAACACGCAGAGCTTGGCGTTGCATCCCTGACCAGCTTGGCTAATAGCCATTGATGGACCTAGCGTGAGGAACTGATCTAATTCCTTTTTGAACCCACTGAGAGTTTTGGCCTTCATAGCATAATGAACACACATCTACAGCCCCAAGATTTTATACTTATCTCATACGTAAAATTATACACAATTTTTGCACTTTTTTTCCCAAATCCCCCAAACTCTCCTGGCCCTCCTCGCGGTCTGCCATCTCTGACAGAACATGGACCCTGCACGGCGCTGCACTATTGTCATGAGCGTTGCAAGCCCAGGGTGCAGGACCCTGCAGTATTTGCAGAGCTGCAGGAATAGAAGTGGGGGATGTGATGAGTCCATGCAGAACAGCTTGCTGGGGGACATAGCAACAACCAATTCAACTTTAAATGAATATTAGACCCGCTCAGCACGAATGCTAACATGTTCTCACATCTTGTATCAAGTCACTTACTGGACACTGGTTAGGTTTAAAATTTTCATGTATATTCTCACTCTTGAATACAACTATTGAAACAATTGTAGAAAAAAATCTAGGTGACATTCTATCATTTAAGCTACTTACTTTTTGCAGTTCACCAAGCTTGGAATAGATCATTTAACTTTTGGAAACATCCTACTAGGGCAAGACCTCGTGAGTTTATCCTTCACCGGCCTGGGACTCTTGGGGGGTCACCATACTATAAATAATAGACAGGAAACTGACTTGAAACAGGAGTGAAACTGACTTATTGCCAACCCCAAATTTTCAAAAATCATGAAATTGGCTTAACAATCATGACATTATGTAAAAATAATAGATTTGGTGTTCTTTGCACAGGCTGACAGATAGTGGAATATCTGTCTCAATTTTCTCCCTCTCACCTTTCCCAGACTCTGGTCCAGGGGTAGCAAATTTTAACAGGGCATCAGCAATCATAGAAGATCAGGGTTGGAAGGGACTTCAGGAGGTCATCTAGTCCAACCCCCTGTTCAAAGCAGGACCAATCCCCAACTAAATCATCCCAGCCAGGGCTTTGTCAAGCTGGGCCTTAAAAACTTCTAAGAAAGGAGATTCCACCACCTCCCTAAGTAACCCATTCCAGCGTTTCACCACCCTGCTAGTGAAAAAGTGTTTCCTAATATCCAACCTAAACCTCCCCCACTGCAACTTGAGACCATTGCTCCTTGTTCTGTCATCTGCCACTACTGAGAACAGTCTAGATCTATCCAATTTGGAACCCCCTTTCAGGTAGTTGAAAGCAGCTATCAAATCTCCCCTCATTCTTCTCTTCTGCAGACTAAATAATCCAAGTTCCCTCAGCCTCTCCTCATAAGTCATGTGCTCCAGTCCCCAATCTTTTTTGTTGCCCTCGGATGGACTCTTTCCAATTTTTCCACATCCTTCTTGTAGTGTGGGGCCCAAAACTGGACACAGTATTCCAGATGAGGCCAATGTCAAATAGAGGGGAATGATCACGTCCCTCAATCTGCTGGCAATGCCCCTACTTATACAACCCGAAATGCCGTTAGCCTTCTTGGCAACAAGGGCACACTGTCGACTCATATCCAGCTTCTTGTCCACTGTAACCCCTTTTCTACAGAACTGCTGCCTAGCCATTCGGTCCCTAGTCTGTAGCAGTGCATGGGATTCTTCCATCCTAAGTGCTGGACTCTGCACTGGCGCTTGTTGAACCTCATCAGATTTCTTTTGGCCCAATCCTCTAATTTGTCTAGGTCCCTCTGTATCCTATCCCTACCCTCCAGCGTATCTACCACTCCTCCCAGTTTAGTGTCATCTGCAAACTTGCTGAGGGTGCAGTCCACACCATCCTCCAGATCATTAATGAAGATATTGAACAAAACCGGCCCAGGCACTCCGCTTGATACCGGCTGCCAACTAGACATGGAGCCACTGATCACTACCCATTGACGATTTAGCCAGCTTTCTATCCACCTTATAGTCCATTCCTCCAGTCCACACTTCTTTAACTTGCTGGCAAGAATACTGTGGGAGACCGTATCAAAAGCTTTGCTAAAGTCAAGGAATAACACAATCCACTGCTTTCCCCTCATCCACAGGCCCAGTTATCTTGTAATAGAAGGCAATTAGGTTAGTCAGGCATGGCTTGCCCTTGGTGAATCCATGCTGAGTGTTCCTGATCACTTTCCTCTCCTCTAAGTGCTTCAGAATTGATTCCTTGAGGACCTGCTCCATGATTTTTCCAGGGACTGAGGTGAGGCTGACTGGCCTGTAGTTCCCCGGATCCTCCGTCTTCCCTTTTTTAAAGATGGGCACTACATTAGCCTTTTTCCAGTCATCCGGGACTTCCCCCGATTGCCATGAGTTTTCAAAGATAATGGCCAATGGCTCTGCAATCACATCCGCCAAAAAATCATTGTATACATTAGCTTTTTCCACATCCTCAGTCACTAGGTTGCCTCCCCCATTCAGTAAGGGGCCCACACTTTCCTTGACTTTCTTCTTGTTGCTAACATACCTGAAGAAACCCTTCTTGTTACTAAATGAAAATGATAATAAGTAAAATGAGTGTTTACTTTTTATTTCTTAAGGTAACTAGATCCGACCTTCATGCCTACCACTTATAATCACTGAAAATCTATCTTTCTGGAGGTAATAAACTTAGTTGAATGTTTTATACTGACTACTGAGTATGTCTAAAGTGTTTGGGGGAATTGCTCAGATTACAAAGGCTGGTACATGTCCACTTTCCTTTGACAAAGTGGCAAACTAATTAATGAGCTTGCACTGTTCAAGAGAAGGTCTTAAGCAGTGTAAGGCGGTACGTTTCTGGGGTGCAAGACTGGAGGGATTTCCTGGGGTCTCCCTGTGATGGGGCAGGTGCCCCTCACTGCCTGGCAAAGGGTTAATAGCAGCCATGCAGAATCCAGCCAATCAGAGGAAGGCTTAGAAGCAGCCAATCAGGGTCAGGCTGGGCCCTATAAGAAGGACTGCAGGGCAGAGAGGAGCTCGGTCTCTCCCTGGAGCTTGAGGGAGAAGGACTGGCTGCCTGTAGAGACAGAGCAGTGCTGGGCAGGGTCAGGGGAGCAAGCGGAGCTCCAGCCTGGCTGGCTCCCAGACTGAGGCCTTGATACGGGGGCCAAGTAGGTGCTGGGGCTACGGGGAAGTGGCCCAGGGAAAGCAGGTAGCAGCAGAGGGGAAGGAGAGGCAGTGAACGGCTGCCAGCTATAGGGTCCCTGGATCAGGGCCAGAGTAGCAGGCGGGACTGGCCCCCACTGGGCACCGAGGGAAGTGGCCAGCCAAAGGACTGGCGAAGGGCTGGACCCCTAGGCTGCAGTTCACCACTGTGGCGAGAGGCTGGGCGAAGGACTGCCGGTTCCCCTGGAAGGGCGGGGAGACAATGGAGTTGAGGCACAGCCGGAGGGCCGGGCCCTGAAGAGGCCGCCGCCGTCAGGGAGCGACATGGGTCCCAACAGAGAGCAGAGATGGAGCAACGAAGAATGAGACACCACCAGAGGGGGGCGCCCTGCTGATGCCCCTGGCTGGAGGGGGGGCAGCGGGTCACTGGTGTGAACGCAGCTCGGAGCCTGCCCCAGGGGCGGGAACAACCAGGGGGCCGGTTCCCAGGAGCGGGGGGCATCTGGGCCCCCTTGTGCAGAGGCGGGTCCCTGCCTGTGCCGGTGTAGCCCCACAAAATGCTCCCCTCCCCTTTTGCTACTGGGAGCGGTTTCTGCCACGCAGCGTAGCAGTTTGGTAAACTGTTTGTTAAATTGCTACCGCCTGTCCATGGGGTTGCGAATCAGGAGGGGATGGGGTATGTGGTCAAAAACGATCCCGATCTGCTTCCTGACCGGAGTGGCCGCTTTCATTGCATTGTCCATGGGGTTGCGAATCAGGAGGGGATGGGGTATGTGGTCAAAAACGATCCCGATCCGCTTCCTGACCGGAGTGGCCGCTTTCATTGCATTGTCCATGGGGTTGCGAATCAGGAGGGGATGGGGTATGTGGTCAAAACCGATCCCGATCTGCTTCCTGACCGGAGTGGCCGCTTTCATTGCATTCGTGAAAGGGGAGGTAGTGTTGTGGCCCCTTTTCATTTTTTCCACTGGCTTCTCCTTGCTTAGTTCCAAGAA